TGCCCACAAGCCAGACATAGCTTGCCAGGGGGGCAGTAAGCCAGAGAACTGCCGGAAGTTTCGTTACCAGGGGTTCCAAAAAGAGGGGACAAAGGAAAGAAGGAAACCGGGACGACGGCGCAAACACAGACAAGGGGAATGCAGGGGGGGGGGCGGCGGCGCACACTGCAGGGGCGGAAAGGGCAGCGTGGCGCCACACGCGCCAGCCAGAGCCGGGGCACGCCGTGCGTTTGCAGCACGGCCACTCTGCAGTCCGACTCTGCGGCGCGCGCAAACCAGCGCAGCAGCCGCCGTCGCGCCCAGACCACAGCACGGCTGCTGCATCGCTGGCAGATGGTGCCGTCGCCGGCCGCAGCCCAAGCCGCGGCCGCCGCTGCTGCTGCCGACGGCTCACCGCACCTTGGCGCGCGCGCTGTGGAAGCACACACACCCGATGGCCAGCGCCATCCAGCCGAGGTAGATGCCGCCGACGATGAAGCAGCTGCGCGCCGCCTCTGCTATCTGCTCCTCCGTTGGCGCGTGGTGCGGTGGCTCGGGCTCATACCACTCGCCGATGAACCTTTTGGGGGGGGTTTGGGGGGGGGGGGGGAGGCGTCGGTGCGAGGCGCCAGTCAACGTGGGCGCGGGCACAGGCGAGTGCAGGGAAGGCACCGGCCCGGCGCACAGGCCGCCAGGAGCTCACTGGTAGTTGTTCTTGATCAAGATGCCCAGGAAGAACATGAAGAACGCCGAAAAGATCGACGCGCCCGCGCACAGCGAGCATCCTGCGCGGCGCGTGGCGGGCAGCGGCAGTCAAGGCGCTGCGCGGCGCTGCGCTCCGGTGCGCCGCCGCATGCCCCGGGCTCGCCGCGGCACCGTGGCCTGGAGGCGCTGCCCCGACGCTCATCCCGGACACTCTTCACCTCCACGCGCTCGCAGGGGCGGCGTGCAGCGACCCCGGCGCAAGAACCCTCGTGGCCGGGGCTCCCAAGGCGCTGGAGGGGCGCCCGCGCACCTGCAACGCCGCACATGCTCGCGTTTGGCCGATCCGACCCCTAGGAGCCGCCGAGCGGTCGGTCTGCCCCTCGACGGGCTGGGGCACCAGATCAGGGCGGTGCTCCTTCGATGGAGAGCCGCAAAGCTTCAGGGGTCTGAGAAAATTACTGTTTGGGCAGCGGGATTGCGGGTCAGCAGCGCGGAGGGAGGGGCAAAAGAGGGGCAGGCGGCGCGCAGGCGCAGGCGCGCCGAGTGTGCGCAGTGCCATGTGCACGCAACTCGCGGCATCGTTGCCCGATACGGTACTCAGCTGCCAACCGCCCGCATGGCTATTTCACCCGCATGCGACCGCTGAATCGGTGCGCAGCCTGCAATGATGCGCGCAGCTGCCCAATCGCAGCAGTCGGGGTTTGCGCCGCCGGGGCGAGGTGAAGCGCGCGCTCTGCCTCAGCCACCTGCCTCAGTGCTTCGCTGCCAGCAAGCCGCCTCGTGCCGCCCGGCACATTGCAGACCTGTTGAAACACGCTGGGGTTTCGCCTCCTCCGCGCCGGTATCGCGCGCCGAATGGCGACCTGCTCGCCGGTCAAAAAGGTCAACGCTCTTCCCGACCTCAGCCCGCTGTTGCCCTGGCCGGCGGCAATGCAGTGGCCGCGTCCGGCATCATTACCCCAATGCGCGTGGGGACTGCAGGTACGGTACGGTGCGGAAGGCGGGCACGGCCGTTTGATGCTGCATGTGAGCGCGCCGCCGCCGCCGTCTGCGCCAGTGACCGCCGGCCACTAGGAGCCCAGCGGATCATCCCACGGTATAAAAAACGCAAACGCAGCCCTTATCAGTGGGCGCCCCCGGCCACGATCGCCTGCAAGAGCGCCGTTCAGGGCTTTCCCCCGCCCTGCCAGCCGCTGTCGCACAAGCTACGGTATCCCTCGCTGGCTTTAGATCCCTGCAAGCGGAGCCACAACTGCAGCAAACGCCCGGCGAGCCCGCTTGCAGCAAACGCCCCGCGGCGTGCTGCGGGCGCCGGCGGGTACGCCTGCGGGCCGAACGGGGCGCTGCGCCGGGACGCCCCTGCAGGATGGGGCTGCCGCCAAGCGTGGCCACCGCGCGTGTGGCGCGCAGCGTCGCGTACCTGGTCAATGTCCAGTCCGTAGGACTCTGCCTGGTGGGGTGCGCCGCGGTGGCGGCGTGCGCGCGGCTGCAACTGAGCTTTGCGCTCGACATCTCGGTGGTGGTCTTCGGCGTCACGTTTGCGGTGCGCACGGGGGGCGGGGGCTGCGCGGCGTTCCTCCGCACTGCGCAGACATGCAGCCTGGGCAGCGCTGGTGTGCTTGCTGGTCAACGGCAGCGCGCACTGAGCTGTCGTCCCCAAGAGCTGCAAAACCCGCGCCACGCCCCGCAGCTGACCTTCTCCATTACCCAGGCCTACCAGCGGCGAGAGCGCGCCCTTACCACACTGGCTGAGCTCAAGGCAAAGGGGGGGGCGAGTGCGCTGCGCACATGGGGCGCGCTTGCAGGCATTGACAGCAACGCACCTGCCTGCTGCTTCCGCCGGGGCTTTTGCGAGCCGGCCTGCTGCGGGCCGGCCAGCCGCAGCGGCTTGCTACAAAACCGCCCGTCCGTCTCTCCTCTCAAATCCCCTCCACCAAAACAATCCACCCAGGCCTCCATCGTCACCCTCTACTGGCAGCACCGGTGCGCACCGCGCTCACGCACGTTGACACCCGCTGTGCCAGCCCCTCCGTCAACGCCCTTGAAGCCACACCTTGCCCCCGTTTTCGCACCCCAACGCCGCCCCAGACCTCGGCGGCCCCACCGCACCCCGCACCCCGCCCCAACCCCCCAGGGACTGGGCGCAAGGGCCGGAGTACCCGGCCTCCCTCGGCGACGACACCACCGTGTGGGCGCGCGAGTTTGCGTCGGTGGCCCTCGAGTTCCTGGACGCCCTGCAGCACTACCTGGTGGCCGCGGACGGCTACGAGGGCGTCGGCGAGGTGCGGCTCGCCGCCAAGCGCAACGCCACGGCGCACCTCCTGCTGGGCAATGCGGTGCTGCAGCACGACGTGCTGGGAGACACCTTCATAGAGCGGTGGGGGGGGGTGGGGTGGGGGGGAGGGGCGCAAAGCGGCTGGGCCCGTGCTCTCATGTTGTGGTTCCTGTGTTCTGATAGCCGGCACCGCTGACTTGGCAGAGCTTGCACACCAAGAGCGCGCCAGCGCTCCAGCAAGCGAGGCGCGCCCCAACAATGCTGCGGGCCCCGGCCACCGCGAACCTCCCTTGCATCCCCCCTCTCCCCTGAAACCCACCCCGCCAGGGTGCAGCGCATCAGCAGCAACCTGCCCGGCCACCCCTTCCTCATGCGGGCCTACGCGGCGCTGTCCAAAATGAGTGTCATGAACGAGTGGCTCACGCACAAGGCGGGCTACACGCGCGGAGGTGCGGCGGCGCTGGGGTTGGGCTTGGCGGCACCACGAAACAGCGCGCCGAGGCAGGGGGCGCAGCGGGCCCGTGGCGCCGTGTTGCCTTGGGATTGCTCAAGCCCCGCTTGTGATTGGGGTGTGCTCCACAACCGGCTGCCGCAGGTGAGGGCGGCATGTCCCGCTCTGCCCAGTACCTGCGCTACCTGGTGGCCCAAATGGAGCAGCTCCGCATGATAAAAATCTACAGGTGAGCACGCCCGCCTCGCGCCCCAACGCACCAGCGGGGCGAATTTGGTTGGGGGCAGAGGGGGCCAGGCAAAGCGGTGCGGGCAGGCGCCGCGCCAGCAGCGCTGCGCCAGCACTGCCGCTGCCGCGAAGCGCCGAGCCCAGCGCGCGCCTCGCGCAACACGCCGCCACCGCGCCGCAGGACGCCCGTGATGCTGCGGCACGCGTGCACCGTGCTGGTGCATGTGCTGACCGTGCTGCTGGCGCCCTACTTCCAGCACGCCGGCCGCTGCGACGCCGGCTTCCCCGGGCCCTGCCCCGCGCCCTACATCATGGCCTGCCTGTGGGTGCTGGTGACGACGCTGCTGCTCAACGTGCAGGCGTCCAACGAGCACCCGCTGGACATGACGGTGCGGGCGCGCCGCGCGCCCTGGCTGCAATGCGTGCGCCGCCATGTGTGTGCCTACGGCGCGGTGGGGGCATGCAGGGACGGCACGTCGTCAAGCGCCCTTGCCTAAAAAAACCACTCCCGTTGCTGCGCAAGCGCAGGGCATCGACGACGTGTTTGTTGAGCTGGCCGGGGAGTTTGGGGACGTCTTGGAAAACACGGTGCGCGGTGGCTGCTTGGTTTTGGGTTTGGGGGGGAGGTTGCATCTCGGGTGCCCCCACCAACAAGACCGCGAACGCGTGCGTCGGCAATCCAACCTTTCAACAAGTTCCACCAAACAAACCACGAAACGTGTTGGCCCCGCACCAGGGACGGGGGACGCCGGTGATCACCGGGGACGCTTGCTGCTTTGACGTGTGGCGCGAACAGTTTGCAGCACGCTGGGGCGCGGCGGCGGCAGCAGCAGGGGGCTAGCAGCGGCCCGTCGCCGGCGGCGATGAACACCAGTGGCTAGCGGCGGCGGCAGGCAGCGCCTGCTGGCGTTTGTGGGGGCGCTGCGCGCGACGGGCCTGGACCAGCCCGGCGCGCTGGCGGCGCTGCTGGAGGTGGCGTGGCTGCGTTTGAGCAGCGCTCCGGGTGATACTGTTGTTTCGATGTTTTTCCGTATTGCAGCTGCGCAGCGTGTGTGGGCGCTTGTTATTATTTAACCAGAGTGTAATTCACTTCATTCCGGGTGCAATCAAGGTCTGCTGCGTTGCGGTTCTGACTGGGCGGGGAGCCAGAACATCGCTCCGGGGAGTACCGTAAACTACACAGGAAGGGAAGCCTTGGGAGCTGGCTTGTCTACAATCTGCATGCGTTGACCGCCAATGGAATGGGCCCGCTCCTCTGCTCTGGCACAGCCAGCCCAGGAGGCAACAGACCCCTTGAGCAATTTGTAGGATGCGTTGAGCAGCAGCAGAACAAGCAAAAGCAAAAGGCCCACAGTGGGCAGTCGCCATCGCCGGGAGTCGAACCCGGGTCGCCCGCGTGACAGGCGGGAATCTTGACCGTTGGACCACGACGACTTGGATGCAGGGTTGCACACGCACGCTGCTCACAAAACACAACAGGGTTTAGCAGGGCCGGCTGTGAGTTTTTACGCCATCTGAGCCTTTATTATTGCTATTTATACCCTCTGGAACAACCCTGAGGCGAGGGGGGCTCGAGTGTGGCGGCGCAGCTCTGGAAACAGCCCGGTGGCGGCCAATGGAAGCTCCTCCAGGCCGCGGAGGCCATACGATTGCGTCGATACATCCATGTGAAGCCGTGGAGTTGCTCTGGGGCAGCGTGGAGCTTCAGAGACCTCGTCGCGCACGGCGGCTGACCACCTCCGGCCCTCTCTCGAGCAATTCGCGACGTTTCTCACACCCTACCAACCTCGCGAACTTACATGGGTCGCCGTGTGGGGGCCCAGTGGCTTGCGACGGGCGGCTGCATGCCGCGGCTGCGCTGTGTGGGCGGCTTGCGCCCGCTCTGCTGCTGCTGCACGATGAGCGCTGCCCGCGCCTGGGTGCGCTCACCTCGAAGGATCCCAGATAGGCTCGCTGTGTGCGTTGAGGAGGCCTTTTGGTACTGGCCAGGGGCCCTGGCACACGTGAGGGGCACCTGCCGACATGCTGGGGCCGGTTTGCGTGCAATTCACCCCAGCCGCGAGTACGCGGCGGCCGTCCCAGAACCGTTTGGTTACAAGAGAGCGCGGTCACGCCGCCTCCTCATCAGCAGGCGGCACCACCTCCTCAAACGCCTCTGGTGCCAGCTCGTCGATGCGCCCCGCCTTGCCGCCGCCGGCCTCCCCGCCGCCGCCGCCGCCCGCCGCCTTGGCGGCCAGCAGCTGCCGCAGGTCGGGCACGCCAAAGCGCTCCGCAGTTGTCGCCGCCGCCGCCTCTGCTGCCTTTGCGGGGTCCTCCTGCTCTTTGGGCTCGTCCTCCTTGCCGCTGCCGCCGCTGGCGCCCGCGCCCGCGCCCGCGCCCTTGCCGCCGCCGCCGCCCTCCTCCTCCCCGGCCTCGTGCATGTCGATGTCGCCGCCCTTGGCGCGCTTCCGGCGCTGCCGCCGCAGCTGCTCGCCGCCGCGCTCGCCGCGGCGCCGCTGCATGTCGTGGTCGTCGCCGTCGTCGCCGCCGCCGCCGCCGCCGTACTCCTCATACCCCTCCATGCCCTCGCCGCCGTCCCCGTCCCTGCCGCCGTAGCCGCCCTCGTCCGGGCGCCGCCGCCGCTTGCTGCCGCTGCCGCCGCCAGCCGTTTTCCAGAGGTAGCGGCTGCGGCGCGGCGCGGCGGTGTCCTTGCGGTCCGCCTCCGTAGCCATCCTGGCGGTGGTGGTGGCGGTGGTGGTGGTGGGTCAACTCGCAACGCACTCTGCATGGGCGGCTTCGGCGCTGGTGTGGCAGCTTTCACAAGAAGGCATGCGCCAGTTGTGAGCGCGGGCGCGTTTTCGAAGCCGGGTGCAGCGGTGGGCCTGTGCCACCGCCGGGGTTGCTTGCGTGGCGCTAGCTGCATGCCAACCGGCTTGACAACAGGAGCGGATCCCCCCGCCGTGCAGGCGCAGCACTGCGGCCCTCCACACACATGCACGCACCTGTACATGAGGCTGATGGGCGTGCCACCCTTCACGAAATCGCGGCCCTTGTGCCAGAGGTAAGGCAGGCTGTCAATGGAGGTGGGGTCGAGGCCTGGGGGTTGTGCGTTGCGGGTTGCGGCGGGCGGCGGGAGCGGGCGGTGAAGAGCCGCTTGCCTCCCTCGTTTGGAAGGGTGGTGGCATGCTGTTGTGCTGATGCAACCAACAGTGCAGCAGCCAGAAGTGTAGCGCAGCGGCAAAACATGGAGCAAAGGGGCCCCCATCTGCGCAGCGCACCCCCTTGGCCGCCCGCATCGGGTGCCTCGACGTCCGCTGGCAACGGGTGGCCGCTGGCCACGATGGCGCGCGCCGCTGAAGCCGCGTCCCCAAACAGCACGCAGCCTGCGATAAAGGCGCCGAGGGTTTACCGGGCCGCCATCGAGGGGGGCCGACGCCTGTGCTGCTCAGCTGCTGTGGCAAACAGAGCAGCGGCGCACAGCCCCTCACGCGGCAAACCTCGTCCAAAGGGCAAACAAAGGCAGGCGCAGCACAAAAAGGCAGGCGCGCGCGCGTGCGCGCAAGCCCACATGATGAGTCGTTGATCCACTCTACAAAGCGGGGCGCGTAGTCCCCAAAGTAGCCCTTGACGTCGGCGGTGGACATCACATCCACACCGTAGAGGTAAATGGCGTCGGGGCGGCGCGCGGCGTCGGGGGGCGCGTCGGCGCGCGTCTCAAACAGGTCTGGGGGTCGTGTTGGGGGGTGGGTGAGGGGAGGTGGGTGGGTGGGTGGTTAGGTGGGGTGGGTGGGTGGGGGCTTGGGGCTAAGAGGGAGGGCGCGCCGAGCTGAGATGGCGCAAGGCCAAAGTGCTGCAGCTCAACGGTGGCAGAAGATGTGTCATCTACCAAATGGCAGCTGCGAGGCGCAGGCCCGCTCCGCCGCGGCCCAGCGCTGCGGCTCGCTGCTGGCCCCCCAAACCAAACGCGGCCCCCCCCACGCACCCATGTCCATGAGGGCGCCCTCTGGGTTGTAGCCCGTCCCGAACTTTGCGCCGCGCTCCTTCCTCTTGACCTCCTCGGGGTCTGGCGCGTACGCATCCACCGGCTCGGGGCGCGACACGCCAAACTTGGCGGCGCGCGCGGCGCGCTTGGCCTTCTCCTCCTGCGGTGAGGCGGGCGCGGAAAGCCGATGCTTCGGGGGGTGGGGCGGGGAGGCTGTCGCGAGGGGCAAGCCTGCCGCCGACAAACCTTGCCGCCAGGGCGCTTTCGGGCGCCTCCAACCGCAGCTGCCGCCAACAGCCGCTCCGCCGCGCCTGCTGCGCCCGCTATGCGCCGTTCCCGCCCACCCTGCCCTGCCCTGCCCTGCCCCGCTCTCCCCCCCCCCACACCTCTGAGAACATGTCTATGCCGGTGATGAAGCCCTCCCCAGCCAGCCGCTCCTTCCGCGCCTCGAGGCGGTACTCCTTGCGGCGCCCGGGGTCACGGAACTGCAGCCCAAAGCGCTCAGCGCTGCAACAGGAAGGGGGGGGGAAAGGGGCGTGGCAGGTCGGCCGGGTGATGCGCTGCCGTCCTGCCGGTTTGGCTGTGCGAATGCGGCGCAGGCGGCAGCGTGGAGCCATGGCGCAGCGCAGCGCACACCGTGCGCCCGTGCGCGCCCGCGTGCGCACCGCAGCTGGTGCTTTTTCCGCTCCTCCTCCAGCTCCGTCTCCTCCTTGGGCGGCTCCTCCAGCTGGAACTCGATGCGGGCATGCTGCGCCTCCATTGCTGCTGGTGGCGGCTAGGCCCGCGCCGCGGCCCGGCTCGCGCGCCCAGCGGGGGAGCGCCGCTGCGGGCGGTGCGGCGCGACCGCGGCGGCACGCCCGGCTGGGGGGAATCGCCTGATGGGCGGGTGCTGACGCACTGCAAAGCCCGAAGTGGCTCTGAAACCGGGGAGAGCGGGCCCAGAGTCTGATGAGGCGTCGCGATCTGTGCACTGCAAGGACAAAGGCAAAACCGGTTGAAGGGGAGTTCATAACCGACTGCCGTACAAACCCACAAACCGGCGAAAAACCAGTCGCCGAGCAGCCCCAGATCGTCAGCGCAGCGGCGGCTTTCCCAGCTCGTCGGCGCAGCGTAGCCAGCCGCGATGGTGTGCATTCGGCCAGCCACTCTGGAAGACCTGATGCAGATGCAGCGCTGCAACCTGCTGTGGTGCGTGCGGACCTGCGCGCTGCTTGCCGCGTGCTGCCCGCCGCAGGCCGCCGTCTCCTGGCCCGGGCGTGGCGCTGCCGGTCGCGGCGCAGCCGCCGCGGCCGCTTCGGCCGGGCGAACGGGGAAGGGGGCATGGCGCCCGCGGTGCTAGCCTGGCCGTTGCGCAGCCTGGCGCCGCTGCACCCTGCGCCGCTGCACCCCGCGCTGCCGCGCTCACCTGCCCGCCTGCTCCGCCCCTGCGCGTCGCCGCCGCCCGCCGCAGCCTGCCGGAGAATTACCAGCTCAAGGTGAGTAGGACGGGGATCTGGAGCGGACGCGCGCACGAGCAGTTGCCAGTTGCACCATGGCAGGGGGCCCCCTGCTGGGGGGCTGGACTGCGCTGAAGACTGACTCGCCTGCTCTGCTGCCCCCCCTCGCCCCCCCCCCCAAACAAACGCTCCCGCAGTACTATTTCTACCACATCCTGTCTTGGCCGCAGCTGCTGTACGTGGCGGAGGACTATGACGGGGCCATCGTGGGCTACGTGCTGGCCAAAATGTGCGGCCCGGTTTGGGGGGGAGGGGTGCGCGCGCGCGTGCGGCGTGCCCGCTCCAACAGCCTTGCAACACCGGCAGCTGTGCAGCATGCATGGGCGCCGAGCGGTCATGGCTGCATTGTTGGGCGCTTTTTTGTGCGGTTGTGCGTCGCCGGCTCACCGCCCGCCGCCGCCGCCGCCGCCGCTGCCGCTGTGCGCAGGGAGGAGGAGCCCACCGACGGCATACACGGCCACATCACCTCCCTGGCAGTGGCGCGGTCGCACCGCAAGCAGGGCATCGCCTCGCGGCTGATGACCGCCACCCGTGCGCGCCTGGAGGGGGCGGGAGCGCTGCGTGCAGCAGCCTGCTGCGAGGGGCCCCGGCCCTGGCCCCGGCCTCAACCTGCCGCGCCTGCTGCCCCCAACCACCTGCGCTGTGCGGCGGCATGCCTCCCGATCCCTCAGTCCCTCCCCCAACCACGACCCCTCCCACCCTCTGGCCCCGCAGACAAGGCTATGGAGGAGGTGTTTTGTGCGGAGTACGTTTCCCTCCACGTGCGCGTGTCCAACCGCGGCGCCATCCACCTCTACACAAACACCCTCGGCTACGGGTGCGCGCGCCCCCGCCGCCCGCTGAAACCCCCGACCCCGGCCTGCCCACCCCCCCGTTGACGCTTGCTGCACGCCCCTTGTGGGCCCCCCCTGTTTTTCTTCGCGCCCCCTCACCCTGCACAACGCCTCCTCACCCCCTCACCCCGTTTGTGCCCGCAG